ACAAAAGGCGATCGCAATAGGTCACTTGAGACTTTGTCTCAGGTGACCTAAAAATCTAAACCAAAGGGGCAAGATTTTTCTGTCTTACTCCTAAAATGGGGAATGATTATTTTTTTTCTATTTCAAAATACAGGAAGTACTTCTGTTTTCAAAATTCCCAGCAAATCAGAGTTATCTTCCTTGATCTGCTACTGGTGACGCGATGTCAATGCGTTGTTGATGTGCATCATACAATTGTTATGGCAGAGAACTGCCCATCATTACCCAAGGGTAACACAGAAATACCTTTCCCTGAACGGAAATGTGGATATCTCTGTCTAATGGGGGAGAAAAAGCCTTTCTTTTACCCTGGACAGGTGTATCCACACTTTTCCCAATGTGAGATATCCTTGTCTCACTCTAGGGTGAAGACTGGGAGATTTTTCTTTTCATAACAATGCAATTGTATCACGTGAACAATACAATAAACATCAACAATGCATTAACGTTACCTCAACCCTGCATTTCGCCTGTCACGTTAACAGTACATTCGGAGAACAGGGTAAGAGAATTAAATCCCTAACCCTCAGGGAAAGTTCTTAAATTGCCAAACACTTGGCAAAGCCTTGTTTTCCGCCACTTAAGAATATCCCCCCTTCGGATGAGGTTCCCCTATCTCAGCCCAAAAGGGGTGAGAGATTCTATTAGTCTTTTAGCTAAAGACATCCCACAAACACTATGATTCTGACACTATCACGTTATCACTATTGTAGAGAATTCGAAGTGAGGGAGAAAAATAATCAATCACTCTTGTGTAATGCTGTCAAAGAAATCTCAACCCTCGGGATAAGGTTTTTGAAGTTTAGCACTTTGCAAAACATTGCGCTAAACTTAAACAATCTTGCCCTCCAGCTGAAATTTCTCTGTCTACATCATACAGGGAAGTAAAATTGAATTAGTCTTCAACTTAGATAAAGACAGCTCACAGGCTTCTTTTGTTCTGGAAACATAACCTTTAAACATTATGATAATGTCATTATCTGCTGTATAACTATACTACAACAGGTTTGCATCATCATTTTATTTTTTTACTTTTCATAAACCATTGTAGATAGGCCAGTGTGTTGCGTTCGCCATTAGTAATTTATGTAAGGGAAATGTGGTAGAACAAATCCACCACTCCAGTCGGTGTCCTGTGTTATGTACAGACAAATCTCAACTCTGCATTCAATCAGACACATTCTACTTCTAATACCGACCTGTTTTTGAATTTGTTCTGGACTTTTCAGCATAAGACCCACAATCTGTTGTTTTATTGTTATTCTATCTTCTGCATGTATTTTATCAGTTCCATCCACCTGGAAAAACAAAAATTATTGTGTAATAAAAAATAACAGAAATCACATGTAATATTGTTTATAAATATGATTTTTTTTCTCTAAAACCAAACAAATAATAAGTTACGACATTTCTGGCAACATGTGTGAAAAAATTAGGGTAAATCAGTAAAGCAAATTAGTGTATTGTTTATATAAATAATCATTTAACATACTAAGTTAAATAGTGTTTAGATATATAGGGCAATCAGGGATACCGTAAACAGGTATTATGTTGAAGGTCTAATTAAAAATTACACACTAGAATTTCTTGTTATATAATTGTTACTGGTGTGTTACCCAATGAAGGATGCATATTACTATTTTTAACTGACGTTAGACGTCAAGGTTTTACACACGTAAATTTATGTATTATTTTCCTACTGGTGGTCTGTCTCATTAAGATCAGGCATTATGTCTAAAGTAACACTATTTTTTTCTACCTAGAAATGCATTTTACATATATATTCCCATATCACATGGGTTTTTCTTATGGAAGTTTCATTCAATATTGCTAGTTATCAGGTCTATCAAACGCATATATAGTTGTGGGGGTGGGGATCTCAACCATTCCAAAGTTATGGTCCATAAATTAAGTATCTAGGGGTGGGGCCAAACCCAAGAGTCAGTACTAAATATAAGATAGGAATCTCAACTGTTTCAAAGTTATGGCTCGCTCAGGAAGTCCCTAGTGGTGGGGCCAGACCCCAAGGTCAATTCTTGTATCATAATTGTGTTTGTTTCTTGATGTTTAGCAATTGTATACATGTTTAAAGGGTGGGAAGCTTGATAATGTCAAAGTCAAAAATTCTTTTTGGCCCTGCCTCTTAGACCCGGTATCTGCCCTTAAACTTGTACAATTATGAATCATCACCACCTGAGAATGCTTCCAACCAAATATAGTTGATATAAATCACTTTGGAACAGAAGTTGGTTAAAGCAATATGGCCAAATATCCCCTTTTTGGCCTCAACCCTCAGTCCCCTGGGGGGGGGGGGGGGTCAGCCCCTACATTTGTACAATTTTGAATACCCATCAAATAATGATGTTTCCAAGCAAATACGGTTGATATCCTTCCCTTAGTTTCAAAGACATACTATAGCTTGAAGAAGTCGCTTAAAGCAATACAGCCATATTACCCCTTTTTGGCCCTGCTCCTCATCCCCCTTTGGTGGTGGGGGGCAGCCCCTCCATTTGTACAATTGAATCTCTACCTAGGGATGATTCTAGTCAAATTTGGTTGAATTCCAATGAGTGGTTAAGGAGAAGAAGTCGTCTGAAGAAATACCTGGTAAGGCATAAGCTCACCTCCGTCCTTTGGACCAGGTGACTGAGCTAATAAACCAATTAGGCAATTGATCATCAATCAGTTTAATACTTCTGTTTATAAACCGATCATTGGTGATGATTGTATGATTGTAAACAGATTGCCCATCACTAGGTACTCACCACACGCCAGTTCCTGCGAGTGTAGTTTTTGAATGTGACGGCCGAGCTGACCCGAATATGTGATTCCACATTGTCTTTGTCCAACAAGTGTAGCAGTAAGAGAGGGTAGTGTTGCTGTATCTCTACAGACTCCAGGAACTTCTCCGCTGTAAACATTGAACAAACAAGTGAAGCAGTAAGAGAGGGTAGTGTCGCTGTATCTCTACAGATTCCAGGAACTTCTCCGCTGTAAACATTGAACAAACAACAAGTGTAGCAGTAAGAGAGGGTAGTGTTGCTGTATCTGTACAGACTCCAGGAACTTCTCTGCTGTAAACATTGAACAAACAAGTGCAGCAGTAAGAGAGGGTAGTGCTGCTGTATCTCTAGACTCCAGGAACTTCTCCGCTGTAAACATTGAACAAACAACAAGTGTAACCGTAAGAGAGGGTAGTGCTGCTGTATCTCTCCAGACTCCAGGAACTTCTCTGCTGTAAACATTGAACAAACAACAAGTGAAGCAGTAAGAAGGTAGTGCTGCTGTATCTCTTGACTCCAGGAACTTCTCCACTGTAAACATTGAACAAACAACAAGTGTAACAGTAAGAGAGGGTAGTGCTGCTGTATCTCTCCAGACTCCAGGAACTTCTCTGCTGTAAACATTGAACAAACAAGTGAAGCAGTAAGAGAGGGAAGTGTTGCTGTATCTCTACAGACTCCAGGAACTTCTCCGCTGTAAACATTGAACAAATAACAAGTGTAACAGTAAGAGAGGGTAGTGTTGCTGTATCTCTTCAGACTCCAGGAACTTCTCCGCTGTAAATGTTGAACAAACAACAAGTGTAACAGTAAGAGAGGGTAGTGCTGCTGTATCTCTACAGACTCCAGGAACTTCTCCGCTGTAAATATTGAACAAACCACATGTCTTCTGCCAAGACATAATCAATCAAACTAATATCTACAATGGAATTATAAAACTTCAGTGATATATATAAAATATCCATGGTTGTACCGGTATACCACGAGTGAGTGAATATTTATATGTTTCAAAAATACATAGCAATGAGTGAAAAAAAAAAAAAGTAGAATATAACAGATATTTATCATAAAGCAATGATTCTATTCCTTATGAATTTCAACATAAGGACATTGGCTTCGACCAGACAGGGTTTTTGCCAGGTACTTTGGGAAAGGGCCCCTGAGCAGGAATTGGGAAAATATCATCGGCGTTTCGCAAAATTGGGAAATATCATCAGTATTCCCACATGCACAGGTTCGAGAAAAAAAGTTTAAAATAAATAAACACATCAATTTTCAGTGTTTTTGTTTATTCAATTTCAAAATTCCGTTACCTATGTATTTTGAATGCTCTTTCATGGACGGTAATACTTTAACTAGAACCTTGTATAAACATGTTTTTTTTAATTTTTAATTTAATTGGGAAAATAAAGACTGAAATTGGGAAAATACAGGGTCATTTTTCAATTGGGAATGGGTCCCCGTACCGGACCCTATAAACACCTGGCAAAAACCCTGCCAAATAATCGACGTCCTCCCAAAAAAATAGAGAGAGAAGGAATACTGCGTTGCTGCACCTCCAGAAGAAACATCAGCGTATCACTGATTGACTTCAATATCATAATTGACAATGCCAGTGACAAACATTAATTGTTTGCTATTTTCCACAAAATACCCTGGTCTCTAATTGAATTGTTTAATGTAGAAATAAACAAAATATCAATTTGTTTCACTGAAAAATCTTATATTACATCAGTAAAAATGTACAAAACCATTCATACTGTTGTTTACCTTGTCTCCGTACTGTCTGATCTGGGGACAGAGTTTGCTGTAGGTAGCCAGCCAGGGACTGCAATGTCGACTCATTCAGCTCCATTCTCTGTGAAACAGTCTGTAAATGAAAAAATAAAACTTTGTATTTAATCGACAGCTGAACACAATCAGCTGACAATGAACTTTTCCTCTTTTGAGATGCTTCTTCTAAAGCTGATTCTGACAATCTAAGGCAGTAGTTGATGTTAATGTCCTGTTTATGAATTCATTGCAATGTCTAAACCATCCATATCCTTTTATTAGTGTTACACCCCCTCTCAGTTCTGACGTGATTTGCTTTAACTCTGTCTCCATATTCTTCTGAAGCATAGTATTTCAAGAGTACCAGTGTTCATACTTAACGACGGACCCATAGACAATCACCATTAAAAATACTGTAGGAATCATTGACTTCATATAGACTAAGTTGTCTATGAAGTCATTTTAAGTGGCCTGAAAATGAATTTTCTTCCTTTATTACTACAACTAGTTTTGCAATTTCCTGTTATCAATCACCAAACAATACTAAGAAAAACATTCTTGGTAAAAGTCTGAATCTTTCAAAAAAATCTTACAATTTGTCGTAAGACATTGAGTTATGATTATCTTAGGAGAACTCTTCAGACATTTTCATAATTGCATAAGTGAAAAAATATTCTTTATTTTTTTTTGTTTACGAGCAGACTTACGATTTGATGTACAAGAAAAGTTTCCCTAACGACGACCTTAGCGTAGTTTGCACAAGCATAACACATGCCTCCGGTTCCTTACGTGAGTGTTAGGAACAACAACTCTGGCTAGAGATTGCAAAAAACTTAAAGGAGACCAGGGCATGTTCGACCCTTTATTGAAGTCAATTTGGACAAAATGACATTTGTAGAAATGTATGTATATACTATAAATAATATTTGATAGAAATAATCCATACTTTTCTTAAAATAACAACAAGAAGGCAAACACATCAGGGGTAAGTCTGGCCCAGGTTATATATAACAGCAATACAAGGTCAGTGCTAGGCTTAAATGTATACCATCATGTGAAGCAGTCATTGTGTTACACAACATAAAATTTAGTTCCAATTCGGTTTACCAAACCTTCGCAAAACTAGAAGGAATAGAGGTAATAATGTTCTGCCTCGGTAGTGTGTTCGCTGTCACCCATAGTCATTACTACTGTGTGCAATCAAGCTTGAGCTTCAGACCACTCACTCTCCCAAGAATTTCGGTTCGATCCCCAGCGGTGGCAGAAGAAAGAGAGTGATGTCTGATAGGGTTAGTTGTTATCCCTTCGATGGCACGGTGGTTTTCCCCTGTGGCGTTTCCTCCACCACGAAAAACAACATTAGTTCCCTTAGTTGATAATGTATACGACGTTAAATCAAGATAATCCTTATTATTTTTCAAATTGATGTTTATTGTCCAGCTCTGCTACACAGGTAATGACTGTACATGTGACTTGTGCTATTTCGCCGAACCAAGGAAGGTGTATTCTCTCCAACTGCCCTTTTTTGGGGTTAAATTTGATTCACAAACAATATCACATTCATATACTGTACCGATACAGTACGTGCAAGTTACAGATAGATTCAGAATAGAAATTCCAAATCCATATTAAAAGAAAATGGGCATGGTATCATAGATTAGGACACGATTTTTATCTAGAGGATAAAGACACCAAACAACAACGCTAATAAATAATGTGTTTTACAAAATAAGAAATTTGTCGGCAATTATTGTCTCTTTTTGTAGTAATATACGTGTATTATTGACATTGTTCATAGAGTTTTTTCCAATATTCACCTATAATAAGACACAAATCACGTTACTGAACAAACACCTCCATCACATTTTGAGTACCTGGTGTGCAACTAAGATCCACCAGCTCAACTATTTGACTTCTTTCCTTATTTTGGATCACTAAAGAGCCAACAATCTCTTTCAAACGACACTCTCACATGTTCAAATGGCGCCGAATTTATGCAGTTGGGTAAAATCCGATACGTTCCGAAAGCTGCAAGGGGACGTAATACGTGGCTGCAATCAACTAAATAAATTCGACAATAATATTGCAGTAAACACAAGACGAAGACAGTGATTAAGGGTACCATGTAAATCTTTAAAAGCAGGTCAATTTGAAATAAATATAATAAAAAATACAACGCATAGAAAATCAAATATACCCCATCGCAAAATCAAATATACCCCATTGCAAATTATAATACATCAATTATCAAACACGGCTATTAAAATCAATACCTACAGAAATTCACAGATTTTTTTTGTATCAAATGAACAAGTTTGGAGCTAATGATCACGATATAACGAATCATTTCAAAAACAGAGATATAAATTTACATAACAAAATCATCTACAATTTCAGGATTGAATTCAGTAAATGGTTTATTAATATAGCAGACATGTTCTTTAATTTAATACGATTAAGACTTGAAACTTCTATTAAAATTGGCAGCCAATTCAATGTCAATAGGCTGGTCCAAAACACACAAACTGATGAATATCATTATTGACCTATAAAGAGCCTGTGCCAGTAGTATATCTATGAGTAGGATATAAAATATGTCGACCGGGTGGGACCGAGGCAGTTGTTGAAATTTATGTTTATAATACACGATTTGTAAGAGATATTTCATGCCTTTCATAAATTAATAATAAGAAGGGCAAGGGCAAAATATCCGTATTTGAAGAATTATTCAGAGACACATATATTATTTAACTTTTTGGGGGTCAGAAGATTTGATGGCCTAACGTGCCTCGTTCGGTGGGCAGTCTGGGGTAAGTTCGGTCTGCATTGGAATCGCATAATTATGATGCCATAAAGCATGCAACGCCAATTTTTAGGCTTTCAATAAAATAGTAATAATGATATACCACATTTGATATAGTGCCCTATCTAGCTAGAATAAGCTCTACAGCGCTTTACAGTACAAAACAAATCTATACATATATTAATCAACCCAATTTTGAGGAATTCGCCGGAGCTGCCTTATGCCGCCTGGCTAATATCTCCCAATGTGTGTATGCCTGGGAATGTGCTGGAGATGTATTGTATTCTGTTTGTAGTGGGACCGTGCTTCCAACGGTATAATTTATAGTGCCACCTCACTTGAATGCTACAGCACAGATACAGCAACATACACCTGGGTTGTTGGAGGGTTAACCGCTCGACCAATCCGCTCATGATATGTTGCATGGGCCGAACCTGCCCCGGTATCATGGGCCAAACCGGTCCCAAATTGATATTTCAATAAATTCATATATTACAGCAATACGAAAGTCGATAAAATGGTTATATTGCATACCATCATGCGAAGCTGTCAGTGTGCTACACGTATGGCATAAATAAGTAGCAATTCGGTTTACAGAAAGGTCGCAAAACTTGTGTGAATGTCCCGTCCAGTCAGCTGAACTGCTAAGATAATTTAGCAAAACTGTAAATATTTGACCAAGATCAAAGATATCAGGGTCGGTCGGACTTACCCCGGGGCCGAACTTACCCCGGTCTCCCCTTTTCTCCCAAAAGTTGTAAGTTATGGTCATAAACACAGTGATTAGACATACAAAAAACGTATAAGGATTTCGATTTGTTGAGGTAACGTTGTATTCGAATTTTCTTTGGCCGTATGTTTAGTGTGAAAATCATCATAGTTTTACCAGGACTCAGGTAAGGGTTAGGTTTGTCGATGTATCATGTCAATGGCGATATAGCGAATATTATTGATGAAAATAATACTATTTTGAAAGCATAGTTCGTGAATGCCATATGTAAAAAAAAAATAAAAAAATGAGTGATCAACTTCCTTATTCGGACTACATGATAAATTAAATCATACACTACAAAAACTGAATTCATAACAGGGGGCCGCGGTGGCCAAGTGGCTAAGGCCTCTGACATTCTGCTACCACTATAACCCTCCACGACCAACACCTGGCACGTCCTTAATGACCATAGATGTTAATAGGACGTAAAACACAAACAAAAAAAGTATTCATAACAAAACTTCAATTCAATATTATTACCCGCAGTTTGTCTGTCTGTGATTGGATTCGTTATTCGGATAAATACAGAAATAAATAAGCTGCCTATTTAGTTCTGTTATGTAATCATAATCTCAACTTTATGGAGCAAAACACTAGCCGTTTCAGTCTATGAAATCGTCATTTGATCAGAGACGTATATATATATTATTGTAATATATGCGTCTCTGATTTGATATAAGATATTCGCGTCTAATATTTTTTTAAATTAAATCCCGGTAAAATGCGAATGAAACAGAAAATGTTGATCCAGTAAAACAGGTAATTAGTCAACAGTTTTGAACCATAATTGTTTATCTAAGAAGAGGTTTGTATGGCCGGGCCGGATTGTAATCTACTATTTTAGAAGGAATGTGCATGTGTATATGTATTGTACTCCGTTATCTCAGAAGGGATGTGTATATATTTTGTACTCCGTTATCTCAGAAGGGGGGTGTATATGTTTTGTACTCCGTTATCTCAGAAGGGATGTGTATATATTTTGTACTCCGTTATCTCAGAAGGGATGTGTATATGTTTTGTACTCCGTTATCTCAGAAGGGATGTGTATATGTATTGTACTCCGTTATCTCAGAAGGGATGTGTGTATGTATTGTACACCGTTATCTCAGAAGGGGGGTGTATATGTATTGTACTCCGTTATCTCAGAAGGGGGGTGTATATGTATTGTACTCCGTTATCTCAGAAGGGATGTGTATATGTATTGTACTCCGTTATCTCAGAAGGGGGGTGTATATGTATTGTACTCCGTTATCTCAGAAGGGATGTGTGTATGTATTGTACTCCGTTATCTCAGAAGGGGGGTGTATATGTATTGTACTCCGTTATCTCAGAAGGGATGTGTGTATGTATTGTACTCCGTTATCTCAGAAGGGGGGTGTATATGTATTGTACTCCGTTATCTCAGAAGGGGGGTGTATATGTATTGTACTCCGTTATCTCAGAAGGGATGTGTGTATGTATTGTACTCCGTTATCTCAGAAGGGGTGTGTATATGTATTGTACTCCGTTATCTCAGAAGGGATGTGTGTATGTATTGTACTCCGTTATCTCAGAAGGGATGTGTATATGTATTGTACTCCGTTATCTCAGAAGGGATGTGTGTATGTATTGTACTCCGTTATCTCAGAAGGGGTGTGTATATGGACTGTAATCTGTTATCTTAGAAGGGGTGTGAGTGGACTGTAATCTGTTATCTTAGAAGGGGTGTGAGTGGACTGTAATCCGTTATCTTAGAAGGGGTGTGAGTGGACTGTAATCTGTTATCTTAGAAGGGGTGTGAGTGGACTGTAATCTGTTATCTTAGAAGGGGTGTGAGTGGACTGTAATCTGTTATCTTAGAAGGGGTGTGAGTGGACTGTAATCTGTTATCTTAGAAGGGGTGTGAGTGGACTGTAATCTGTTATCTTAGAAGGGGTGTGAGTGGACTGTAATCTGTTATCTTAGAAGGGGTGTGAGTGGACTGTAATCTGTTATCTTAGAAGGGGTGTGAGTGGACTGTAATCTGTTATCTTAGAAGGGGTGTGAGTGGACTGTAATCTGTTATCTTAGAAGGGGTGTGAGTGGACTGTAATCTGTTATCTTAGAAGGGGTGTGAGTGGACTGTAATCTGTTATCTTAGAAGGGGTGTGAGTGGACTGTAATCTGTTATCTTAGAAGGGGTGTGAGTGGACTGTAATCTGTTATCTTAGAAGGGGTGTGAGTGGACTGTAATCTGTTATCTTAGAAGGGGTGTGAGTGGACTGTAATCTGTTATCTTAGAAGGGGTGTGAGTGGACTGTAATCTGTTATCTTAGAAGGGGTGTGAGTGGACTGTAATCTGTTATCTTAGAAGGGGTGTGAGTGGACTGTAATCTGTTATCTTAGAAGGGGTGTGAGTGGACTGTAATCTGTTATCTTAGAAGGGGTGTGAGTGGACTGTAATCTGTTATCTTAGAAGGGGTGTGAGTGGACTGTAATCTGTTATCTTAGAAGGGGTGTGAGTGGACTGTAATCTGTTATCTTAGAAGGGGTGTGAGTGGACTGTAATCTGTTATCTTAGAAGGGGTGTGAGTGGACTGTAATCTGTTATCTTAGAAGGGGTGTGAGTGGACTGTAATCTGTTATCTTAGAAGGGGTGTGAGTGGACTGTAATCTGTTATCTTAGAAGGGGTGTGAGTGGACTGTAATCTGTTATCTTAGAAGGGGTGTGAGTGGACTGTAATCTGTTATCTTAGAAGGGGTGTGAGTGGACTGTAATCTGTTATCTTAGAAGGGGTGTGAGTGGACTGTAATCTGTTATCTTAGAAGGGGTGTGAGTGGACTGTAATCTGTTATCTTAGAAGGGGTGTGAGTGGACTGTAATCTGTTATCTTAGAAGGGGTGTGAGTGGACTGTAATCTGTTATCTTAGAAGGGGTGTGAGTGGACTGTAATCTGTTATCTTAGAAGGGGTGTGAGTGGACTGTAATCTGTTATCTTAGAAGGGGTGTGAGTGGACTGTAATCTGTTATCTTAGAAGGGGTGTGAGTGGACTGTAATCTGTTATCTTAGAAGGGGTGTGAGTGGACTGTAATCTGTTATCTTAGAAGGGGTGTGAGTGGACTGTAATCTGTTATCTTAGAAGGGGTGTGAGTGGACTGTAATCTGTTATCTTAGAAGGGGTGTGAGTGGACTGTAATCTGTTATCTTAGAAGGGGTGTGAGTGGACTGTAATCTGTTATCTTAGAAGGGGTGTGAGTGGACTGTAATCTGTTATCTTAGAAGGGGTGTGAGTGGACTGTAATCTGTTATCTTAGAAGGGGTGTGAGTGGACTGTAATCTGTTATCTTAGAAGGGGTGTGAGTGGACTGTAATCTGTTATCTTAGAAGGGGTGTGAGTGGACTGTAATCTGTTATCTTAGAAGGGGTGTGAGTGGACTGCACTCCGTTATCTTAGAAGGGGTGTGAGTGGACTGCACTCCGTTATCTTAGAAGGGGTGTGAGTGATCTTAGAAAGGATGTGTATGGGTTATGTTGGGATGGGAGGGGACAGTATGATGTGGTTTTCTGTTATTACATAATGTTGCTTTTTTTTTTACCAAATCCTATTCCACAGTCTTGCAACATTTTTGACCTTATGAAACCTTATCTTGTGATTGCCCCAATGTTATTACGGTGCTCACTTTGTGCCACGATTTTTTTATTTGAATATGGACTGACATCGATCTTCGATATAAACCCGGACTGCACAGTCGAACTTGGGTTACCAGGTCAGCAAAGGCCTAAACAGTGTCTTTTTTTATATCATAAATGTATATGACAGCATTTTTCGCAATATTGTAACGATGATTACGTTCTATACATTATTGTAGCGATGATAACGTTCTTTATTACATACTTACTAATAAATACGGGTTTTTTGCATATGCTCTAACCCATATCAGCCCTCGCCGTATCACACCCCAAAACCGGTATCAGCCCGCAAAACCCATATCACACCCCTTTTGGAAAAAAAATCGTTTTTCAATATTTCAAAAATAAAAATAAATCATAAGATTGTAGTTTTTATTAGTAAGTATGTAATAAACAGAATAAAACACGCCTTTTTCCATATCACACCCAGTATCAATCCTCGACCAATATCAGCCCTCGGGCCTTCGGTCCTTGGGCTGATATTGCAGTCTCGGGTTGATACTGGGTGTGATATGGAAAAAGGCATGTATTATTCTCTATATACATTATTGTAGCGATGATAACGTTCTATACGTTATTGTAACGATGATAACGTTCTGTATATTATTGTAGCGATGATAACGTTCTATACATTATATTGTAGCGATGATAACGTTC